ATAGCCTGTTTTCATAACACCTCTAAGTTTGCTACAGTTACTCAATGACTGCTAGGTTAAGTTTAGCCTATTTGTGGCCAGCATCCTCTATGATTATTCTGTAGAAGGAGCGAAATATCAATATGGAAAAGAGCCAAAGTTTTGAGAAAATTAAAAAGCATTTGAGGTCTAATTTTGAAATATTTAAGAGCTTTTGAAGAAAATGAGAGTAAGGGATCAGTTCTTATCTAGTTACAAAAACGTTGCCAAATTGGCAATTTTTAAAAACGTTTAATAACTTTTGAAATATTTTAGTTATTTGTTCGTTCTGAAATCCAGGTAATTCTGTACGGCAAAATGGCATGCACAGTTTAAAATTACACCTTTGCATCAAGCGTAGGGTACTTTAACTGTGGCTTCGTAAAATTATGTTAAGTCTATCGGTACTTTCATATATTTTTGTTAATTTTATTTATATGAATTAAATGGCAAAATTCTTGTGAATGTACTAACTACAATCGCCAAAGGTACAAATAGATTTTAAACTTTTAAATTTATTAAAAAGAACATATAGATGATTGTCCGTGGTTATACCTTTAGAGTTGGTCTCTTTCTCTGATGTTTTTTTTTTTTTTTTAGTTTCTCGAGGGCTACTAACCGAAAGTTGGCCATTATTCCTCCACGGATAACGATACGGGAATCTGCCCAAATTCTTTGAATTCTAATTTATTAAAATAGTAACACATAATATTTGCTATCACATTGAAAAATATTAAGAAAATAATTAACATGTGTAGTTGTTAATAGTAAAAAAAGTTAATTAAAAAAAATTAAAATATTATATTTTATTTAATAAGAAAGGGTGTGAAGCTTACCTTTCATTTCATGAGTTCGATGAGGTTTGGCTGACATGAATTCTTTTAATACTGATTAATCCATGACTGAGAAAAAGCACATCATGTGAAAAGCATCTTTTTCAAGTAATATAGAAATTCAATGATGCATTTTTTTGATAGTGAATTTGTGCATGCTGTTAAGAAGAGTGCTACTTCTCCCTTAGTTAAAGAAATACATTGCAAAAGCGGAGGCTAAAAGGAAGAAAATAATAAAAAAAAATATCGTTGCTGAATTAATATTTAGACCTTGAAAAAGATAGTCACATGATATGAAAGTTCTAGTTCGTGCATACAACACTTCCTGGTTGAGAAAGAGAAAACAACAGAGATGATTTTAATCAACGTAATTCATCTTCTAAAGAAGATGTTTCTCAAATGGTGCTCCTCGAAAACCTGGGTTTTCGTTGAAGAGCATCGTTTATAAGTACGTTTTATAATCAGTGATGAATTTTGAAACATTTGATTATATTCAAATCCAACCTATAATTCATTTAATATTACCGTTATGTTTATGAAATTACTTCAAGTGATAGGTACAGTGAAACCTTTGAAGAGCGACCACTTTTGGGGAGCATTCCATAGTAAAATAGTCGCTGATGGAGGTTGGTCGTTCATAGAGATCACCTCCATTGACTGCAAAATTGTTATCAAAGGTTTTCCACCACACATCTTAATTTTAGTCATTTTCTTGGTGTGGAAATGCCATTTCTGTGGGCGTCTTTGTAAGACAGATCAACGAACAAAAATTAGTATCTTTAAAAAACGATTTTGCCGATCATGAATGATAATGCTATTTTAGATAAACTAACAATTGCAGCTTTTTTCTTCGCGTTTGCGTTTGATTTTATATCATAAAATTTAGTTAGCTTTAAAAGATGAGAAGAGGTTTGTTTGTTTGAGAGGCCTGTTTTTTCTTTAAAAAAACTTTATTTTCTAATTTAACTTTTAACTCTAGAAGTAATTTATTGATAACATAGTCTGAAGTGTACTCTGACTGCAACATGAGGTTGTATCGTCATAAAGAGTTCTCTAAAGAAGAACCTCACACAAATATTTTGAATACATTTTAATCTACTTATTTGTTTAGGTAAATTTTTTGTTTTCATATTTTTTTCGCTCTCTTATTTGACCTTTTCTGCATATGGGACAGATGCTTTCCTCGTAGCTGGGAGAGCTTTCAGTGGTCTCTCCTAAAGGTTTTCTTAAACACGAAATGTAATGAAAAAATTTTAAAAAGTGCTCTCTACATGGATGTGATCTTTTCTGGAGATTTCAGAGTATAGAAAGAATGTAATGGCAAAATGAAAAATTTAAGCGAAATCGGTCGAAAAGTTC